TTAGATATGTGCTTGACTTCATAGGGCTGCAACCACGAACGTTGTGCTGAATGGTCGGGGATCCCATAGCGCCTCTGCTCTTTGTTATCGTTATGGACGCCCTGGCCTCGCTCATTAGAGCGCATCCACTCATTAGTAAAATACCGATTCCGGATCCCGGTCACATCATTGTTCGCAGACGACCTGACTGTGCTCATTAGGGCAGATGCGACCAGTCTGCATGCGGTCACTCAAGTAATACACCTTTTTTCGCTCGCTGCAGATATGAAAGTAAATTGGGGGTCCAAAACACAAGGATGGTGGGCTTCACCCCCTCGGACAGCCACACCCCCTCGAACCAAGTGTCGCATCGGCAGCTTGGGAAGAGGCCATACGAATCTTGGGAGGGAGACTGACGACCGTGGGACCCCCGCTGGATCACGGCAACACACTGGTGAACATGGCAGTTGAACGTTTGGCCAGATGGGATGGGTTACATACATCTCTGGTGGGCCGCGCCCTTGCGATCAACAATGTAGTTCTGGCGGCCATCTGGTATAAACTAGCAGTATGGCCGCTAAAACTCCAACAACACACTAGACTGAGAAGAGTGCTTACAACTTACTTATGGAAGAATAGTGCAAACTCTCATAACTGCATGCGCAGGCATGCGCAGGGTAAGTTGGGATATCCTCACTCACCCAAGAGTCGCAGAGGGACTAGGGATACTAGACCCGGGTGCACCCGTTCAGATGGCTCACTAACTCCCATTGGTCGATACCCGGCCCCCACAACAACCACAAGCCAACACCCCGGCACAGGCCACGAGGCAGGATATTCCTCTTGATCCTCTGTGCATGCTCAAGCTTTGGAGGAAGAGAGGCCCGAAGTTGAAGCGCCTGCCAAACTGCTGGCACAATGTATCTGATCTGGCACCACAAACGACCGCATCCGCACGGGTGCACCCGTTCAGATGGCTCACTAACTCCTATTGATCGATACCCGGGCCCCCACAACAACCACAAGCCAACACCCCAGCACAGGCCACGAGGCAGGATATTCCTCTTGATCCTCTGTGGGCCAACATACTCAAGCGTTGGAGGAAAAGAGGCCCGAAGTTGAAGCGCCCGCCAAACCGCTGGCACAATGTATGGAGGCAGCCGTTATTTGGTAACCCTTATATCCTCGATGGAACAGGCAACCGCTGGCACAATGTATGGAGGTAGCCGTTATTTGGTAACCCTTATATCCTCGATGGAACAGGCAACCGCTTCTCCCTCACCTCCAACTCGCCATGGCTCACCTAGGCAAAGAAAGGGGTCTTTATTGTTGGGGACCTGTGGGATCCGATAAAAGAGGGGCAACCACTGATCAGCTGCAGCGCAAATTAAAACATGCCAAGTCGGTGGAAGCCAATGCTAGTCAGTTAAGGGAGGCCATCCCGCTGGCCTGGTGCCTTGCCCTCAAAAAGGGACCCTCGGTTCAGCAAAACGACTGGGTAGCCAAGTTCGCAGACCGGACCCGACCTCAAGTCATTTACAAACCGGACCCGACCTCAAGTCATTTACATAGCTCATCGAATCGAGGACCGCCGATGCGCGTTGGAGGCCTACCAATCCCAGATTCAGGACACCAGGTTCTCCAAAATTGTTAGGACTGAAGACCTAGACGCCACTGAGGACTGGGGAGTGCTTATGCAAGTGAGGGTGGTGGGCGACATTGACAAAGGATACTATGTGTACGAACCATCCACGCCGGTGGCGAGACTACAATTTGACCCAGACGAATGGGAATGGCCCGGGCACAAACCCATGAGCTTCTGGGAATACACGGTTAAAGGGGCCGACCAAGCCTCATGCCCCGACCTGCCCCTTAACCAAATTGTGACCCATAGATGGGAAAGAGACTCGCCGCTAGATGCACAGCTAACGCACAACCTGTCATGGGCAAACTATTCAAAGGTCATGCCAACAAACCTCAGATCCCTACAATGGCAGATACTGCACCAATGCCTCCCCAACCCCGACTGGTTGGTGTCCAGGACGAACCTGGAGCAGAAACGACTGTTGTCC